GAGGAGAGGGGGGGGGCGTCACGAACAAGCCAGAAGTTATTGACGAATCAGCGGCCTACATTTCAAATTACGAGGTCGTAGTAGCATTGGTTAGCGAGCAGTCTGGACACTAAGCCATTAGTCGTTGAGTCTTTTCGATCCACGTCGACTTTAGGAACAATCAATTTTCATAGCAATATTAAGACAGAAACATTTTAACGAAAATATGCATATTGTGTTGTGCCAGGAAACGTCAGACCTGGGTGAGGTGCAGTTCTCCCTCACCTACAACAATCACCTGGAGCGGCTCACGGTGGTCGTGCTCAGAGCGAGGGGCATCAAGAAACCCACAGGGATGGCTGCAGTAGGTAAGTCGCTAGAGGGCGTCTTTTCTTCACTTCGCGAAACACGAGGTACTGACAGCCTGACTCAATCGCTCTGTTAGCGGCCGCCAGACTGATGAACTGATTGGACCAGCGAAGAAACATACTCCAAAAAACGAATCGTTTATGTCTAAAAATTGCAAAATACGCAGTACCTGGTCGGCTTAGGAACTGCTTAACCTCATTGACACATGTATGATCAGTACATCACAAGACGTTACCTTTAGCAGCACATCATTCCGAATGTTCCTGTAATTTGTACTTACAGACACCTGCGCACGTGTGACCCTGATGAATAGTAACCACGTGCTGAAGACAAAGAAAACCAACGTAGTCACCAACAGCAGCGACCCTCTGTACAACGAGAGCTTCAACTTCAAGCTAGGCCCCACGCAACTCGATACATCCAGCTTGAGCGTCGCCATACTACAGGTCACTCCAGGAGACGAAGGTTAGTGACGTGTGTTAACAAACCGCAAGAGGGCGCTGCAACATAGAGTACCTACCTGTCGACGAATTACAATTTGTCATCATAAATGCTTATCCTTTGGTGAAATCTGTTGAGAAAAACGCTGTCTCTTATGTCAAATATATATGCATTATTGTTTTTTTTTCATATGTAGGATACGAACGCCAAGTTGGGCGTGTAGTGGTCGGGCCGTTCATGTACGCCCGAGGGAAGGAGCTCGAACACTGGACAGAGATGGTCAACAACCAGAAGGACATGGTCAAAAGATGGCATGCTCTCACACAGTGACGTCACTCAGTCCCAGTTCTCGCGAGGGTAGACGAGAACATCGGCACTTCTCGCGAGGGTTGAGAAAAACATCGGAACCTCGCGAGATTTTGAGATTCATGTACCTAATATCCTTATAAGGATTCTAAGAAAAGATATATACTTAGTGAATGGGGGAGTATCTCCCGCCAAAAATGTTAAGGATTCATAAACGTTTGTGTTGTTGTTGTTTTCATAATGCAAAACGTTGAAAGACGGTTCAGACAAATTTTAAGTATAAAAAGCAGGCTCTGCCCATGAGGCGTAGCCAAAAATAGGGTTTACCTAGATGGTAGGCGTGCAACTATGTACTGTTTGTCTTATGCTCAGAATATTGTTAAGTACCTACAATCTGTTGTGTATTTGTGGATATGCATGTTTTTTCGTCACACACTATAAACTATTGAAAAAGTACATATTAGATGTTTAACTGTGAAAAGAATGATATAGTCGTACAAATGTTGTTGCTCGAAAGAAAAAGAGTTCTTGAAGCTGTAGGTTTCTTGGTGATGATAGATAGATAGATAGAATGCCTTATATGATACTAAGAACAAAACGTGATACTCGAAACTGTCAGGACGTCACGCCTATACTCGTGCCTGTGTCACCGAATTCTAGTCTTGAAAAGTTTGAAAACGACCGATTGAACGGTTTTGCTGTGTGTGTTAAAATCGCTAGACGGAGCTGCTGCTGGTTATCACGAGATGCAATTAAATGCTGCCTGGCCAGTTAGACTAACAGACATGTCAAAGACGTCTTTGATACATACATGTATATATATTGAAGAGTATTATATAATATAAACATGTATATCTGTTTACATGTATTTATGTCAGATAACACTGAACTTTTATACAACACAGCACTTCACAATACAAAACATCGCCATGCCCAGTGTATGTTAGATGCAGGTAGATATAAAAATGCCTGCAAAGCTCAATATACCTACACTAACCTGCATATGCAGGTGATATTTCAAGCCCTGCCCGAACGAAGTGTTTTCTAACGTTGAGCGACGCCCGTATCAGTACGTACCAAATTGTTATTTGCCTATTCGTTATATCCAAATATCCATATCGCCTATACCTACTTACCGAGCTAGATAAATGTTTACTTTGAGTGAAGATGAACTGTAGACCACACCACAAACGCAAACAGTAAAGTAACAATCACCCACTGTAGCTGTGATAGCTTTGAGGGCTTTAACTCGTGGGTTGTTAATTGACCTAATACTGTCACTATTTTTCAACTATATATGTATATGAAGCCGGGTACTCTCATTAGTGTGGATATGTGTAAAGGTAATTGCATGGGTTGGCTCCATAAAACTGTCAGTCATCGGATCCTCGTCTCGAGCTTAAATATTCATGCTTTTTCACTAAAAGAAACTTTGAGGGTTTTATATTGAATTGATAATTCACCAACACAAGAGACAAAACGACATCAAAACATCTGCTGTTAATTGTCTAAAATATAAATAGCCACTGGAGATGTAAAAGCAGCTACACAGATGGAAGCTTGTAGAGCTCTATAATGGTGATATATCGGCGAGAATTCCTTCGTTGACCAACACCAGTCGACCCGCGAAAATACTCCCACACAAGGAAGCTTCAACTGACAGCTGAACTTCTAAACTGTGACAGATACACAGACTCACCTCAGAGAAAACGTGATCAGGAGAGACGTAAAGTGGATTGGTTGGCACCTTGCACAGGCTGAACGAAGTATCAGTGCAGTTTTTAGGGCTAGGAAACACGATTTTTCAAAGCCAATATTCTAGTCACTTAATATCTACATGCTGACAAGTTGAAACAACACTGTCCCAAGTGTATATCAACATTCATGGAGCAAAAATCCCCAAATTTCTGACGGAAATTTTTACTATGGTTACTGGAAGGGCCCTGGGCAGATTTTTAGGGTACCAGCCAGAAAATAGAGGACTCATCTTGGGGCTTGATTCTGCAGTTTTAAATGCCCAAAGTATGAAATGCTGATTAAAATGTGCTAATGTCAAACAGCATGTATCAATATCACAAAGATTGCCTTATTCAGAATATTCCCAGTTTTGCTGCCCTGAAATCGCATTGGATGCCTTTACTCTGTTTGCTGGCTACACGACGCGTCTGGCAGTCCTCCGTCGGACGACTACAAACTTTGATAGTTAACACCTCACATTCAGGACAAGTTGGACCTGTCTGTTACCATAGTGTTTGAGACTGGTTTTCATAGTGATAAGAAACCCTGGACTCCTATTGGTAGTTCTGGGATTGGGAATGGCTCTCGGTGAGGAGGCCCAATCAGCTCCTGACAATTTGTGTAACACATGTACACATGATTTCCTATTCCCGTACAGCACAAATACTGGTGTAGCTGACGTGCGTTTTAAGGTAAGCTCGAATATCTGTATTTTGTTGTTTGTTTGTTTGTTGAACCTTTTTTATTCATGAGAAGCTGAAATTGGCATGAAGTCACGATGTAAGGGTCAGACAAAAAGAGAGATCAGTGCACACAACATCGCGACATATACATTCGACAAAAATCACATGTAGAGGAAGGACACAGATTGTTCGTATCAGTCGTCAGTACGTTGGATCTCTTTCACTTCACTCTGAAGGTTTCACATTCGGTCATACGCTACTGCCAAAACCAACTCGGATCCTGTCCCATAGAATAAAAGGTGGAGGTTGGCTATGATGGTTTAAGCTCTCCACCGGGCACAGTTGTATGTATCTAGGCAAACTTTTGTTGTGACTTGAACGTCTGACGCCTAATGACCCCTAATGAGTCTTAGGTAAGTGTGGACCAGAGTGAAGCTAGCAGGCGTTTCTGCAGCCGATTCGGGGTTATTGTAAGAAAGATAGTAGAGAATTCGAACAATAATACCTATAGTTCGTTCAAATTCTTAGCATGGATGTAGACGTATGCGTATTGCAAGTAGTGCCCAAAGACACGTACGAGTTATTAAAATTGACCGGCTACAGTAGATTTAAAATTTAAAGTACCCACGAGGACATGAATTGAAAAGATAAGAGATATTGAATACTATGAATTGGAAAAGATAAAAATAAGACATCAAAGTTCATTTCGGTTGGAAAAAAGGTTAAAGGAGTCAATAAGAAATATGGGAAAGTCACAATTTATCTTAAATGTCGGAAGTTGGAGCATGAAGTTCAGCATTTATTTCATAATGACTATAAAAGCTTTAGGTGAGCCCTGTCCACAGTCCCCTTGAGTTTTACATTGACTGATGCACACCTCTAACCGGTACATGCCAAGTTAATCAGAGCCCCCAGCATGGCGCACGGTACCCCCTCCGCGAGCCTGTCAGACCCGCAGACATCAGGCAGACGTTTTTGGGCCAGGAACGCTCACCACATCAGGTCGACTTAAAACTCAGTGGAACAGATGAAAACCAATCGGTATGTAGCTACATCGCCGGAGTATCTGGACATTCCGAAACATCACGGGTAGTCGAGGGCGTAGCAACGTCATGTGGTGATCTGACATTGTAGCAACTTTCATCGCAGTTAGCAGTCACGGAAATTTATCAGCCTAAATCTGTGGCCTGTGGGTCTGAGTACTAGTATGACTCTAGTATATTTGTGAACTCCTTTCAACAACAACGACTGATAGAATACAACGCTTAACGACGGTTTCGCTTTACTGTCAAATGTCGTTTGTACTTCGGAAACAGTCAAGTAGCATCCACAACACTTGACCCTTCCCGCCCTCTCCGAAAGGTTAAATTAAGATCAATTAAATCCAAGGCGACGGTGGGTACCACCTGGCACTAGTACTGGTGTGTTTGCAAGCGGCCATGGTTTTATTTGCTCTCCTTGTGTTTGAACAGGAAACTCCCCCAGTATGTGAACTGTAGCTAAATTTTAACTACAACTTTTATTTTCTGGAGAAATATAGACTGCCGGATCGTGACGCGTGACAACGCCCACAGAACACTTCACCGTACACCGCCGGTGGGTAGCTGGGTCTCCGGTCCTGTCCTTACATAATGGCATCCTGCCTGGAAAAGTTTGGGAAGAAAAGACTGTTCCTGCTCGTTGGCTTCCTGGTAGTCGTCGCGGCTATCATAGGAATCATCGTCGGCGTAACCTCTAACCAGTCCCCGAGCGCATCGCAAGGAGACTCCGATGAACACGGAGGCGACAAGACGACCAAAGCCCCCGTGGTTCCTACGGGTACTCAGACCATGTGGCCGCCGGGCAGCCCGTGGCTGACGCTCCGTCTACCTGACTACATCATCCCGGTACACTACAACCTCACCCTCTGGCCAGACCTCGTGGCTGATACCTTCACCGGGAAGGTGGCGATCGACCTGAAAGTCAGCCAGCCGACCAAGTACATCCTTCTACACATCAACCAACTCGTGCTCCAGACTCCCACCGTGTATCAGAAACTGACGGGCGCGTCCTACGCGGTCCTCCGCACCTTCGAGTATCTACCGAACCAGTTTTACGTCATCGAAATGTCCAGCGAGATTCCCGCGAATAACGGAAACGACGACGGGGACATGTACGTGGTAACCGTGGACTTCAGCGGCAGTCTTGTCGGACACATTGTCGGATTCTACAAGAGCACTTATACCAACTCCCAGGGTGAGACAAGGTACGTACACACTCCCATTAATCACATTATCCTGTTTCTAATTTAGCCAACACGTTTAACCCTTAAAACGGTTTGCTGGACCCACTGGGGAAATGAAACAGGGCAGTCTTGTCCTAAAATGACAACTTTAATCTTTTACACAACTTCAGATAAGTACCTTTCATTAGCTGAAGAGTAAATATGACCCTGATTATTACAATCCTGCAAATCCACTTGCTGCGGCCCAAACATGAAGTATATCTATAATCATAAATGTAAGTTATTGCATCATAAATCGGTTGCATCAGGCAGGTGACAGTTTTACGTACTTTGAGTCCTTGACCCTTCCCTTATCTCAGGTCGCTTTCCTTTCTCCTGTTGTGAAATGTTTACAAATACAATGTCTGCTGACGTAAAAACGACATCGCCTTAGTTACAAATCTTTCTTCAGGTTATCTGTCTCAATAGGTCTTTTCCATCCGGCTCAATATCGATCGGCAGAGCAAAACATCCCTTTTCATACCCGGTAGTTTACGACATAGTATAAACTGTACAGTTAGTTATAAGTTACAACTGTTGAAGGACTCTCAGAGTGTTTCATGTTGACGTGAAACACATGTTGATTTGTGGGAGGCGTGGGCACTTTCAGTAACGAACATCAAACAACTTCTCTTGCCTTTGAACGTTAACTACAACATTACGCGATTCAAAGTTTAAAAAGTTGTAGTTGAAATCCCATCATTTGAAATTATTCTTGGTCTTCTATCATTTATATTTCTTGGCGTTTTATGACAGTTGATGTGTTAGGAGGCGTTTCCTCTTGAAGTATGTAAACATGTTAAAAGCTATTGAACAGGGTTGCCAATATAATCCTCGAGTGCTACGTAAACAAAGATTCTGTTTGGAGCACAAAGAACTGCGTGTCACAGAACAACAGAAGACTAATATTTGTAACTGTTCAGGTTTAACAAGTATCTGTGCTAGTCACGGTTCGCTTCACTTACACAATAGTGCCAAATCCTGTTCTAATTTGTTGCTTACCTAAACCTATACACATAACATAATCACTAACTAGAAATTCACATTTGCAAATGCATAATGTTTACCTCCGCACATTGTCTCAAACACATACGTATATATATATATATATTCAGACAGGATTCACACACACACACACACACACACACACACACACACACACACACACACACACACACACACACACACACACACACACACACACACACACACACACACACACACACACACACACACACGAACGCCAACGGAAACATAACCTTCTTGGCGAAGGTAATTAAGTTACTAAAGCCGCTACAAACTATTGGACAGCTACTCGTGCAATGACACACTGCACACTACAAACATTGCTTAGATATTATCGCGGGATGGAGAGACACCCCCTCACCCTTTAATGGAAGCGGGACGGGATAATTGCCAAAGAACAAAGTTGAACACCATTGAATCATCTTCTCACCATTTTTAAACACAGGTCTTTGGCTACCAGTAAGTTCCAGCCCACGGACGCCAGGAGGGCCTTCCCTTGTTTCGACGAGCCGGCCCTGAAGGCAGAGTTCACCGTCATCCTCATCCACCAGCCGCAGTACATCGCCATTTCTAACATGCCTATCGACGTGAGTCAACCGTTTTATTATCATTACCATTTATTCACAGTAAGAAGGGCCTAAGAAGTTCGACCGACGATGATAGCATGGCTATTTTTACCTTCGCCAAGAAGGGTATGTTTTCAGGGGCGTCCGTGTGTCTGTCTGTGTGTCTGTCGGTCTGTGTGTGTGTGTGTGTGTGAATTCGTTTGTAAACACGATAACTTGAGAAGGCCTTGATGGATTGTCTTGATATTTGGTAGGTGGGTAGGTCTTTTATTATTTTAGTGAATAAATGGATGTTGTTATAGCACAATATAGGTATCATTTCTTGTTAAACAACTTGAAGGTTTATGATGTCAAAATTTGAAAATGTAAGAATCTTCTTTTTTTTTGTCCGCCTTGTTCTTTTCGCCCTATCGCATTAGATTTGGACTGCAGAGGATGTCATGCATAGAATTTACTTGCAGTGGCCTAATTATCAGATGTGTTGAAACATGGAGTTGCAGTGGCCTACTTATGGTTGAAATCTTCACCCCCAGGTGGCTTACACCAGAGGTGACGGGCTGGTAGAAACACATTTCCAGAGATCGGTCCCCATGAGCTCCTACCTCGCCTGTTTCATTGTGTGTGACTTCAAGTACACGGAAAGCGTCACACGTGGTGGAACACCGGTATGTATTACATATAGACTACTGCACATAGTGCAAATCGTATCGTATGTATATTAGGTAAATCAAGCGCTGTTCAGACGAAAACGGTGGAATCGTGAGTCGGGTAAATCGCATTACTCATATCTTTTCCGCGTGCCACATGTTCGTTCGGAATCGTGCCCAAGCACGATTTGGCTAAATTACAATCATTGTTATTTCATGAAAAGACACAAGGTGGCGTCGTATACATTTCAGAGGTCCCGTCAAGTCACTTTGCGTTCAGACTGAAGTCGGAATGCATCGAAGTCGGTTCGAAACTACCTCCCAAGGTGGTTTGGGATCGAGGCGCTTTCAATGCGATTTGGAGCGTTCAGATGGGGCTACTTAAATCCTGCTTCGGTGAAATCCACATTAAATGCGCTTTCACCGTTTTCGCCTGAACAGGGCCTTAGATATTTGACAACAGCTGAAATCTAAATATTACAGGATTCTCTCTCTGGCGCTTACCAAGGACATTTAACGTGTAGCCATAACCGTATGAAAACATACTTATGGAGTGTCTAATAAACCTCAAATGATTCCATAAGATGACTTAGATGTGATAGGACTGAAACTATTTCACCTCCATCCGCCACAGATTCGCGTCTACGCCACCCCAGACCAGGTGAACAACACCCTGTACGCGCTGGACATCATGAGGAACGTCACCGACTATTTCGAGGAGCTTTTCCGAATCCCCTATCCACTGCCTAAGCTTGGTAAGTTAGACTGGTTAAATATTTCATTAGGGCGTAAGGTAAGCATAGATGTCAAGACAGAAAAATGAACTAGAGCAAATATTTTGCGCAGAACCTTGTTATGAATATAGCTTGCCTATTTGCATGATATATACATATATGTGAAAACAGACCGTCTTCGTGGTATTGTCGCGGGAGGTTCGCGACGCCATCTATCGAACTTTTTTAAAACTGCAAATCGGTTGATCCGGTCTTGATCCTGTTTTCAGACCAGATCGCCATCCCTGACTTTGTGTCCGGCGCCATGGAGCACTGGGGACTCATCACGTACCGGGAGACCAACCTTCTGTACGAGGAGGGAGTCTCCTCTGCAGGCAACAAGCAGCGCGTGGCCAGTGTCGTGGCGCACGAGTTGGCCCATATGGTGTGTTATATATTTTATCAATTTTAATTCTATTAAAATCAATCAACATGACTGGAGTACATAGTACTCCTGAATTGCGTCGACTTTACAATATTAATGAGACAATTTCAAGAAGGAACACAGGGCAATTACATACATACGTACGGATACACAAAAAGAACATGCAACACGAAAAATGCTAAGCCTGCATTTGACTATTGTACAGTCGGATGGTGTAGTGGAGGAATTGAAATACACGCGAATATGTATCTTAAATATACACGAAGCAAATACACGTAATCGTAATAGGTCAGTATAGATGTATATCATTTGTAAAGGACAACATGAATCTTAGGCTTTATGAATGAGCAGAGGAGATTTCATTCGCGTCACATAGCGACTCGAATAGAAATTACAGACAATACATGTACGTATGTTTGTATGTTACTAGTAAGTAGACAGTCTCCATCAATAGACTTCAGCAGATTTTTCTCCAATTTAAGTTGATGGAAACGTACGTGCATATGCGTAATACAGAGATGGTATAAGACTTATAACTGTATGTATTACATACTCCCTTTTCAGCAGACTACATTCGGACGTTTTTACTGATCCAAAATGTTGCTATTGATGAAGCCAGTGACACTACATCTCTTTTTTTCCCCACGGTTTTTCAGTGGTTCGGTAACATTGTCACCATGGAGTGGTGGGACGATCTGTGGCTGAACGAAGGTTTCGCCAGTTTTGTGGAGTATCTGGGCGTCAACGAGGCAGAACCCGATTGGCAGATGGTAAGACGTTGGTGAAATTACTGCACAACCTGTTACTAGTATTAGACATCATGGCGTAACACTCCATAATGTAATTCCAGCAAACTTTACGTTTATTTTATCACCACGGTCACTGATAGCACTTAGCATGGGCGCCATCTAGCGACTTCAATGATTTGCACAGGATTGCACATATTTTGAGTATACTGTATCCAGACAACATAGATTTCAACCTTAATACATTTACATCCATTAGTTCGGAAACATAGCACAAAGGCTTCATACATATCACAGAAGACCATCTTTTCAATAACAAAAAACGTGATGCTGTATCTGAAAATTGTAGAATGGCATCTCCGTCTACCACAAATGACGCATTTTGAAATCGGCACTTCGTAATGAAGGGAATGACTGTCACGTCAACACACTTGTAGCATTATGATATACTTGTGTAGTTAGAAAATAGCGAGTTTTCGTGTGTACTGTGTACGCGCTTGTATATGTATGTGTGCATGCGTGCGCGCGCGCGCGTGTGTGAGTGTGCCTGCGTGTGTGTGTGTGTGTGTGTGTGTGTGTGTGTGTGTGTGTGTGTGTGTGTGTGTGTGTGTGTGTGTGTGTGTGTGTGTGTGTGTGTGTGAATTAATACGCATGTGCGTATGTATGAGAGAGGGAACGTTTTTGTGTTTGCTTGTGTGAGCGTGGTTGAATGTAGAATATTTGGTCCCCCATAGCATCACACATATCCTGTAGTACAAACCATCACCACGACAGTTTTGATAGTCTGTCAGCGTTTTATATCTGAAGGTTACACTGATTAGATCATCTCCTTTCTTGCCTGTCAGAATAGGGCTTCAATTTGAGAGAAGGTAATCCAATTATACTTCTCCACCAATCATGGGCCACATAAAGGATCCTGCAAGATCAATTAGTCTTTCTACTTGGTTTCGGACTTTGCCACTAACTTGCTTGATTAGAAACCTTTCTGACAAGTACCGTTACTAAAACGTGTGAAAATGACTTCGCGTCTGTATTGAATATACTAAGACTATTGCACAAGCATTTTGCTGGATATGTCGTAAAAGGGGGAGGGGGCACGCTTCTTATTCTATTGATAGTGTAAAGTGGTGTTCCTATAATATCTGGCAAACAAGACGTAATGCTTTGACTATAACTAGCTACCTGTATACCACAATATATGGTCATAAAAGCAAGCATAACCATTTGATACTTACACATAGGGAGCTTAAATAGCATTAATGCAGGTATGAAGAGACTATATTTGCATCGTATTAAACTTCGCCTGTTAGTATGATTGCAAAAGAAGTTGTAGCGTATTGTGCCCGCCTAACTCACGCAATTAAGTCTACTAATGTATGTCTAATAATAAAAACTTGTGGGTAACGTAGGTATATTTTAGTCGTTGTTGTTGGCTGTTCAGGATGTTTCCTGGATGATTGAACACATCGACTATCTAGTCAAGACCGACATGTAAGAGTCGTAACACGGCATGTCTAGTTAGTCAGATTCATTCCTTGGGTTGTCGACCGTGTTTCTGTAGCTAAAAATGGAAATTGGGCAATACAATCAACCTTTTTGCTAGCCTCTACTAGGCTTCGGGGAAATAGCAGAACTCGGTCCATAGAGATAACATGCCGAGGGAGTTGGTCCGCTAGAGAGTACATTTTGCCGCACCAGAAAATGACCGAAAATGTACACTCTAGCGGACCAACTCCCCTGGTATGTTATCTTTCTATTTGACCGATTTCTACTCTTTCCAGCCGCCTCCAGAAGCCTGGTAGAGGCTAACGTTACATTTTTGGTACCAACCATGGGTGAACAGAAGCTGTCATTGTAGCTTACAGAAATTATGGTAGGCCAGTTGATAGTGATGAAAATAGCTACTACAACTTTTCTCTTCTTCTTGGTTCTTTTAGGTAACTCGCTATTAACCAACAACATATCTTCTCTAACAAACAGAAGTAAGATCTGTCAACATTCCTTTCGTATTTTTGTGTTACAATAGAAAAGTAGCAGAAAACTGTAGCCAAATCGCCTGACTTAATCAGTGTATGCAGACTGTAGCACTTTTTTGGACATTTGCTTGGATGAAATCGGGGCATTGACCTTGCTGACGGTGGACTATGAAAATATAAGAGTGACAGTATTTCTTTTTAAGCTAAACGTACTGACGCTACTGGCCTGGCCTTTCACGACATTTTCTGACATTAAAGACCATTACCGATTTTCTCAAATGTATCGTTTTTACACGTGCCATTTCGTAATTACTTGTGGCCGGCTCTCTCCTCGCCCATAATGGCCGGTAAGTGTTTGTAAGTGACGTATATGACAGGAGAGCATCCGCGATGGTGGACTTCTGATCCGGTAATCCGCCCTTCAACTATCTGTTCTAACGTTCCATCAAGCGAAAATAGAATTGATTCTACATTAACAGAGGCTTGAGTATGATAACACGTTCTCTGCATGACTACGGTGTATATAATGATGCTATTGACTTTCTGCATCGTTAAGCGACAATGGTTTAGTGTGTCCACGTTTTGCGGCAACGTTCTGAGGATAATTTTTTCCATTCATACTGAGTTTTCATAGTGATGAGTGCTTGCTGGTTTCGCTGAGAAATGTTAAAGTTCCGCAGCGGTTTTTCCGTTCGTCAGCCGCGAGACTTGTGTGACACGCCGTGCCATGTGGTCCCATTACTCACCGCACTTCAGGTGTTCCGGGGCGACCTGGGTGCGTATGGGCGCTGCAGATAGACGCCAACATCATTTTTCATGTTTGATAGAGACGTGCCCGAAGACAGCTCATTGCGCTCTTATGCCTCATTTAATTGGAAAAACGCGCTCAATTACTCGTTATCTACCGGCACATAGTCGCTCGCTGCAACCGCGGGGTACACATCCCTAGAAACCGCTCAATACGATCGACGGGATGTGCCCGGATCAAGGGAAAATTCCCCCCACCGACGCTTTGTTTTGCAAAAGGTTCCACGGGTACATGACTAATGATAGGTGCTCCAACTTTCCACCGTAGTCGTAAAAAAACAAAGTTGGCACTATCACCTGCGTCCCAAGGACGGTACAGCCATCTAAACGCCTTGAAGTACTGTGTCACGACAGTTTCAAAGACTTGTAAAACACCTGATCAATGGAAGACCGGTCGGCATTGTTTCTTTACACTTGCCACGCCAAAGGCAAGACCCGTGAATTTATGTGGGGAGGAAGCCAAATTAACGTTAAAAGGAGGTGCGAGGCCTTTTGAATGTAAGCGGGACTCCCTGACGTCGAGACCGATGCTTCGGCGCATTCAGTATGGCCTTTCCGCAGTCAGGAAAGTTTCTTGCGAACGCGGAACGAGGAAGAAGGATTATCAACGCTCCCTCCCATCCTGACACACTTTTCCCCCGAGCTGCTTAAAGTTATTTCGAGTAAATCATTAATAGCGGAATTTAGCGTGAGAGAGGCACAGCGTAGATATATAAGCGCTGCTCGTATCTCTCACAAACTCAATACCGTTCAATTCTTCTTCCTTCTACTAATTAATGTTGGCGATGCAGGTACTGTTAGCCGCGCTCACATTGTCGTAATTCCTCAAGTCTACCCACCCGCCCGTCTACATCAAGGGAAATTAAACTTGAGCCCGTGTTAGAGACTGCAAAATTAATTAAGACGCCGACGGTGGACCAGGTCTCCTGGGGATCCGCCTAAACGCCGAAAACGGTGGAGCAGCGTAAATTAGTAGCGTTAACAAGGAAGCCACAGACAGGGAAATATTGACGGGTGCCTCAAGTACCAACCCTCGTCTTCGCAACATATCTGGGCTATCATTTTTCAGATTCCTATAATTGAGTCCAATGGGAGGGTACGGAATCGACTCAATGTAGACTCTTCAGTCATACGTGGAAGGTGATTAATCTTACAAACTTACAGAAGACAGAGTTATACAAGCTTCTGGTAGACATGCAGAACTAGAGAGGTTTTGAGAAAGTTTGGTTGGATATACTAGTACATACCTGCGGTTCTACTTGGAATGAAAAATCATGTTTTTTCTTGCGTGGTGGGGAGGGTTGAAAGAATCGTGAATTTTGAAAGAATCGTATAAAGACTATATGGTCATTGTGTTCAATAGAATGCGTTTTTAACAATTCACAATGTGCGGTGATCTTATTTTTCATGGGCTTTTTTGTGACTCAATGCTGTGTACATGTACATGTATGTGTGTTTCTGTATTCATAGATGTCACAGTGTGCCTGTGTGCATTTGTGTGTATGTGTGTACATCTCTCTCTCTCTCTCTCTCTCTCTCTCTCTCTCTCTCTCTCTCTCTCTCTCTTTCTCTCCCTCTCCCTCTCTCTCAATCTTTGTGCGACTCGTGTGTGTATTTGCCTCTAATAGGAAATGTCTCTTTTAATCCGTACGCATCAATGGAAGGAAATCAGTGTCCTACTAAAAGTGGGTTATGTTTCTTAAAGGTGATTAGTGGAAAAGATATCCCGTCACATTTTATTGATTGAAATTCGGTACAGACACCTGATCATTGATAGGAATCATTATAAGGAGGACTCTATCAACAAGTTAAAGCTAATAGCAATATATCAGAAACTAGGTCATTTGGCACATGTAACATTTAAAGTGTCTGGCGCACCTAGACAGTATATCATTGATAACGTTTAAAATAGATGTTACAAGAACAGAGTCGTACGTTTTTCAGATACAACGACATCATTTTGACTCTACTGACAAGCTGGTATATCTAGAACGGTTCACTGCTTGCTGAATACAGCCTTCAACTTTTACAGTTGTTTTTTTTTATCTGACATTTGACTAGCATAAAGTTCACGTCCCAGTTGGCGATTTTATTTCCAGCAAAGGCCTCTTTAGTAGAATCGTCTTTGAGCGGCAATTATAGTGGATCTGGAAGTGTCTTTATCCCCAGTTTATCTCTCTGTCTTCCAGCTGGACCAATTTATCGTGCAGGATCTACAGCCCGTGTACGGTCTGGACGCCCTGACAACATCCCATCCCATCATCCTCCCTGTTAACCGTCCTGAAGAGATCACCGAGATTTTCGACTCGATCTCTTACAGCAAGGTGTGTATTATTACCCGCAGTCACAGCATTACCTGCAAGCTTTAGTTCTTTCAAGCAGATTTATATGAGATATTCTAGGAGGAGCTTTTTTTTTCAGGCTTCTCCTCCTGGACTATTTCTCGTCATGACCATGGCATTTATCAACTATGTACAAAGAGAAAGTATGTTGTTCAAGTTAGTTGAGCGTCCGTATGTTACGTCCATACGCTCTCAAATTCAACTGATTATAATTATATCATAATAGAATAACAATATTCTCCCGTATGGATCTGAAGTCTTTTTAAGAAGGCTTTATTGCCTTACAATCTTTGAAGCTCCATGATTTTATTTCTAGTATATAAGTCATTTTTAGCATTGGAAGGATTTGCAAAATAGAACGGACTGGGTTAAACAAAGCTCAACTCCAGCCCAATATATCATCTATATATTTACCAAACGCTGCCACCTAGAAAACATAACAGTTTACTTTCAGCTAACACTGTTTAGCTGACATAGCCTGTGCCGAACGACTCGTATCTTTGCACGAAGCTATCGTTATCTTTTGTTGCCTGGAGAGAATATCGCGATAAATCAAACTGCTCGGTTTAAGGTGCTCGTGTTTTTAAAAAGGAAGAGGAAGCCTATTGACTTTTCACGGGGCCAGTGTCCTCTATGTACATACACAAAAAGGTTGATCAATGTGTGATGTAGATATCAGCCCGAGTCAGATATGCGAGGAGAACTCTGACATTTCGTACCTATCGACCAACCCCCTCCGTGACATTTTGGGTCAGGAAGTAGCGGTCTCGGATTCTCCACTCTTTCGGATGCTAAAAACGCCGAGTGACCTCCAACGTAGTATTGTATGGCCTTTCCAATGCTTGTAGACAAGATTCATGGTGCTTTTAGCAAGGTTCCGGAACCCAAAATGGAACACACAACCAACGTATGATAACTGATGGCTGAGGCGGCTTGGTGAATGGTTCGGCTGGTGGTAGAGTTAGGCAGATGTTTTGGCTTGATGTATCTTCAAAGAGTCTGTGAGTTAGTCTAAAATCAAGCAGCAGACTCTGAAGTGATGGATAGGCGAGTTTTTGAAGATGTTCACTGGTAACCTACACAGCTTGCCAGGCATGGATACTTCGTATCATCTGTTTGGATTTTGTTAGTCACCGGTACAGATCAATAAAGAAGCAAAGTATAACATGTAGAAACATTTACGGAGATCTCAAACATATGAGGACAAATGTAAACCGGGCATTTTTGCTTTTTCATCTTGGAGTAAATTTTTCGCAGTAATAAACAAGTGTTACCAAAGATGCGCTCTCTTTGGGTTCCATATATCTATAGAATTTTAGAACCTTTAGAAGCTATCAGCAATAAAGCTGAATATAAAAGTCATTAACAATGTACACATTGTTTTAGCGACATCATGGCGTTTTCCTTCCAATGTTTATTTATCATAGCGGTTCTTTCTCATTTCTACATGATGCGCAGTGGATTATGACTTATCAAACACACAGCTTAATTGACTGTATGAATCTTCTCTTCCTCCACAGGGGGCGTCTGTTATCCGTATGCTGCGAAGTTTCCTCGGGGAGACCGCCTTCCAAACCGGCATCACGGTACGTCCTGCGACTTCTTTTAATTCACCACTGGTGATTAATGGGATTGGCTACAACGACATTGAATAATAATCTTATTAGAAACTCTACGGGGACAACAGTGTTCGCCGAGTATTAAAGGGGATAAAGAGTCGGTGCTTTATTATATCATGTACGCCATACGTCTGTGCACATTATCAGTTCACCACGTGTAAGCGATGTTAAGATATGAAATATTGATATTTGCACTTCACAAAGTTGCACTTCACAAAGTTCAGACACATATATCATTGGTTGAAGCCATTCATCATACTTTTATGTGGTGCGTTGTTTAGATTATACATTTACTCGAGGGTTTAAAACATTTCCGATTTTACCAATATGCTTTGACGTAAACAAATGAATCAGTTTAGAAGGGTTTTCCAAAAGTGAGTAAGGTATTATATAGTAGGTGTTAAGTTATGTTATTTTATATTTTTCTAGTCTTACAAAATGAAGGTATGTGAATCTACTACCACAAAAAAGCACCACGAAGTCAAATTTGTCTTTGCTATGTGTTGTATAAATATTATAGAATACCTCAAAACTTGTGTTGTAAAAAGATCACGAAAATGCCTCAACACTTGATGGACAGGTATCCTTATCTTGCAGAGAAATCTAGATTGCTCTATCAACATGAATGTATCTTTGTGACGTTTTTCGGTGGAGTAGAATTCCCAACGCTCACCAATTCCATCCCCATTGCCTTGGACCTCATTCCAACCACCAAGCCAAATGCCAAGCATGGGGTCACGAAGGAATGCAAACGGCCACCTTAGCGAGAACGGCAAATTGCGAGGTCGGAAAAGTTGACTTTTGCTTGATTGAACCTATCAAAGAAGTTAATAGCTAATCCCCGCACTTGTCAACTTCTATCCCTCCCTCACAGCAATATCTGACGGACTTCTCCTACAGCACGGCCCGAACAGATGACCTGTGGAGCGCGCTTGGGGCGGTAAGGTTGTAAAAATCATCTAAAAGCCATCATTGTAGACATTTTCTTACAATCCTCCCGTAGCACTGTCCATTTAGCGGCGTGAAAAATTTCCCATGACACCCCGCTGATGAAGCATCATGGGAAATCGACAAATGGCGTGATTTTGGAAAGGTCAAAGTCAAAATGGCGGAATCCTCGAAAGAGTGAGAAAAACTACTCAACTGGTAAATTTCCTCATGTCCAAAGCAAACTACCGTCAGCGAGTATTGACGATGACTAAATGTGGATCGACCTGTTGAAGAGTCTGTAGATAAATACTTCAAATGAGCTGGAGTATGTTAAATGAAGCGAGAGGACTACCACCGCAGTTTTATTGTCACGGTATCCATATTTAAAGCAAAAGTTGCTGATAATTCATTTGTCGCAGAGTCTTCGACGACGAGTTAGTCAAACGATAATAATCAGTTAGGCAAAATGACAACAGTACAGAGGTTCTCCATCACATAGCTACTTTCATTCATGTCGTATTTCACCCACAATAGAAGATGAGACCCTAGTTCCACATTAGTTTCGTGTCCGTACTTTGGGATATACAGTAGTTAATACTTCGGTCAAGGGTACTATCATTGTCGTAACCACTCCTATTTGTTAGTTTGGCCTAGGTGTGCGTTTCGTACAGTCTTGCTTGCAGTTATACATCTCTATGTGGTCTTCTTGATCTCAAATTTCAAATATCTCAAACCAATCATTTTAGGCCAGCAATCAACCGGTCAAGCAAATCATGGACACTTGGACCAAGCAGATGGGGTTCCCGGTAGTCCACTTCCGCAACACGAGCTCGAGTCTACTGGTCACTCAGGAACGGTGTCTGGTGGACCGGACAGCTGACACCAGCAACAGCCAATACGACTCACCGTACAAGTAAGTACTGTTAACATGTTGTAGCCTTTCACCTTTGGGGGATCGCTGAATCATAAACCATGGTTTTATAGTGGTGCTAATAGACTAGCCCCCTGTTATATGTTGTGTGGCCCAAGGGTATAGTAACGGAGATACATATGTACATGTATAGTGAGAGAAGAACATCATTCTTAATCTAAGTGGTTGTTACTAACACCGAGTAAAGGGGCATGTACCAGGGTACATTCTGGGGCTTCCAAGAAGGTATAGATAGCCCTAAAATTGACGATTTGTTGGAAAGATTGAAAGGGTATATTTTTAAATGACCCTCATAAACTTTGCTGAAAGACATGTTTGACATACATGTGTATGTTGCAGTTATACGTGGTCCATCCCGCTATCGTTCTACCAACTGGAAACTAAAGACAACCCATGGAATGACGTCATGGATACAAAAGAAGGTAACTACATCTGCCACGACGTTTGCCATGACCAGTCGTCCAGCATTACATCACATGTATTATGGGAATTACATGTACTTCAAATATCAGCGAAACACATGTGGGCCGAATGTTTGACTACAAGCAATCGTTGATTATTGTCGTAGCCATTAATACAATTGTGTAATGCCCAACCAAATGTTTTAAAGCACGCCAATACCACACCTACTCACAAGACCTCATGCCATTGGCTGTTCCTGCATTCAATACTAAGTATACGTCAACCAAATGTTTTAAAGTACGCCAATACCACACCTACTCACAAGACCTCATGCAAGTGGCTGTGCATGCATTCAATACTAAGTATACGCCAACCAAACTAGTCTATATCCTGTAGCTACGTCCACGGCCTAATGTATTGTACATGTGTTTGTACCACCACAGTTGTTATAACGAATTGGCGACCCGACTCGGCAAAGAAGTGGATCATCGGAAACGTCAACCGGTACGGTTATTACAGGGTGACGTTTGACGCAGACGTCTGGGCCGCCGTGACGCAACAACTTCAGGACGATCACCTGGTTAGCAGTCATGTTTACTCATCTATTAATTTATCTTTGAAACATATGGGTAGTTCCTTCAGCCGTTGACGGCTGATTTCCAAGGGAGCCCATGGAAGCATGATACAAGACAGTAATATAACACAAAATGATAATTGAACATAAGAATATTAGTAAACCAATTAGACAACAAAGGAACTTGAAAATCATAATCAGAATACAATAGTGATAATACAATAATACAATACAATAATTTTGTTGTAATAAGAACATGGCATACTACTATGCATAGCAATTACGAAGGTCCACAGCGACAAGGTTTCGAAATATTGGAGCAGGACTATATCGTGAGCTACAGAATGCGGAGTTGTCGTTGTAGGTCTTCGTAAACAATAATCTACAGCTCATTCCGAAGATGACGTGATACTGATACCATATTAGTATGTGTATGCGACCTATTTACGAGACTGCAACATTGTATTTTTACTAAAAGCTATATATTTATATAATCATTGGATTATTCAAACACACAATTCAAACACACAATATAATACAATACAATACACAATGCCATCACTTCGCTAAATCGTGTGTTTTTGCGCGTTTAACAATTATATAGTTAAAATGCTGAACGTCACATCCGTGTATTAAAACAGTGGATTACATATACCATTTAAATCATAGAGATTAAGGACTGACAGACTATACTTTTAAAATATGGACAAGGCATGGTAATGTGCTTCTGTTATATCGTTCGGGGCGCGCTCGCTGGCAATTGGTCACGTTTTGTTTGTTGTCTCTTATCGGTAGTGTTCGTGTAATGACGAGTGCTGAAATGCCATCCAATGGAGATATTGTTTTCAACATCGTAAATGGTTGACTTCTTCAACAGATGTTTTCAGCCGCTGACCGGTCTGGACTTCTCGACGACGGCTTCGCATTGGCACGGTAGGTCAAGGGTCATCTGTTGAGATTACAGAGTGTGAAGAAAGGTCTATTTGTGAGTCCAGACTGATATCTTATACTTGATTCAAATTCAGATATCGACAAAACTAACTACTCCACTAGTCTTCATGGAGGCCTTAATATGTAGAAATATTGCCAAAAGGATTCCGTACACTGCACGAAAAGTTGGATTTACCAAAGGTAGTAAATTCATGTAATGTTTACTTTGTATATAATATCTGGCTTTACAATGGTAGTAAATAAAAGTCAAGTCCAGTAATTTCATTCATAACCCTGGGTAAGTCCAGAATCACCGTACTTGACTTTTATTTACTACCATTGTAAATTCCAGTGGTGCTTATTAAAACACACAGTAAACATCACCCAAATTTACTGGTATTTACTGCCATTGGTAAATCGAAGTGGTAGATAGGAAAAAGACTTCAACAATCAGTCCAGTCACTGTTACGGTATCCCACAAAAACGTGATGTTCCATTTGTAGCGGTGGATACCTGAGTTACTCGGTGGCTCTGGATCTGACTAAGTACCTGGACCAGGAGGAGGGCTTCCTCCCGTGGGACACCGCAGTGTCGTCCCTGTCCAGCGTCACCAACCTGCTGGAGAACACCGACCAGTTTGATGCGTGGAAGGTAATTATAAGATAGAAACGTACTGACGATGAACAGAGACTGCGGACGGTATAGACTTCCTGGGACTTTTGACAGGTTGCTGATGACGTCACGTGTCAGTAAGGTCAAGTGATATGATCTAGGTGTTTGGAATTTCCGAGAAGGACTCCACTATCACAGTCGAAAATTCGTTTATATTTTCAAATTCCGAATTAATTTTCCGAATGCTACTGTTTGTCTAATCATTTCGGCCTTTATGTTTGGATGTTTGAAAGCTTTTCTAACGGTACAAAGTTACAATGTAGAGTCTATTTTATTTTCCCAGAATTATTGCAGCAGCAAAGTCCGGTCTTTGGCAGACACTTTGGGATTTAGGGAAGGTGGAACACATCTTGAACAGTGAGTAATTCTGCTAGTCGTAAAAATATAGTAAACGTAAACAAATAAACACAAAACACACACACACACCTATGCAGCAATTTTATCAATTTTAGTGTTCTAGAAAACCTTGCCGAAATCCTGTTTACCTGTCTGTTGCCTTAGACTTCAACGTTCAAACGTCTTGGGGTTTGCCCTGAGGACCGGGGACATCAATGCCTTGAACAATGCCTCCGCCTTCTTCCAGCGATGGTTACAGGGCGAAAGGTAAGTATGTCTCAACGTGTCGACACCATGTGTGTGCTGTATCGTTGATTCTACATCTATCTACATGTATCTACAGTGTTCAAATCTTACAAATCTTATCAATTGATAATTTATCTTTGACATACTAGTGGAACTCGCTGTCACCAAGTACAGTAGGGGCATTATCATGAGATAGTTTTAGACAATGTTTAAATTTAGATGTTCAAAGGTTAGTCGTAACAAGTCGTTTGGTGTAAAGCCCCGCGTGCTTGCGAAGCTGGTGTGTTACGCCGAAGGGCGGTTTTACCGGCTATACAGATACAGATACTATTATTTTCCCCAGTGTTCCTTCGGCTTTCCGGTCGCTAGTATACCGATATGGCATGCAGCAGGACGGAGATGAGGCGGCATGGAACTACATGTGGAACAAGTACAGTACAGAGACACTGGCACAGGACAAGATACGTCTTCTCTACGGTCTGGCATTCGTGCCTGACGGAAACCTTCTCAGAAGGTTAGAACCTTCAATATTCAAATCTATAACGACTTTCCTTATGTCTTTGATTGTGGCAACAATAGTAATCTCGCAGTTGTGATGATTGTCTTACATAATTGTTTCCAGATGATGTTATCCCTGTGCCTGACGCCATGTTGGTGTCCCTATTTGCATTTCAGTGAATCAGACCTCAAGCATTTTAGGGCATATCAAGATCAATTTTGACCCTCTTAAACCGCTATCAATATGTTCAGCTCAGAGGAGAGAATACTAGAATCGTTATCAAATATTGTGGATGAGGCACTGAGATGCTGCGTACCATTTGAGCTACGATCCGTTGAAATGCTAATATGGACACTAACATGGCGGTCAGCCCGTTCATACTCCATTGATATGAAAAGTGAATAAAATGCAGACTGAGTATACTCATGTGAAAAAAAAGTATCAGTCAGTGAATACCTACGTGAAGGCTAGTGAGCTAATAAAGTCTTGCCGTTCCAGGTTGCTTGAGTACAGCATGGATGAGAACCTCATCCGGAGTCAGGATTTCAACTCGGCCGTTATCTACGTCTCCTACACTTCACTCGGCCTGCCTATTGTGTGGGACTGGGTACGGGAGAAGTGGCCAGAACTGGTCAACAGGTAGCCTGAATAAATCATGCTTTTAGCAGACGTTCTGCTGGCCAGGTGCCTAGAAGTTTTGTTGGTGACATCCTAACTCTCTCAATGAATGCATACATACATGCATGTACTAATAATGAAGCTTCCGAAAACAGGTCCATCAGGTTGGTAAAGTATAGGATACAGAAGTTTTCTTTTGCACAACCAATTCTCTCACCTCAAGTGCTGACGTTTCGAAGTGCTGAAGCTCTAAGGAAGAGTCTGATAGACACCATGTACCAAAACGTCAGCACTTAAAGTGAGCGAATTGGTTGTGTAAAATTGGTTGTGTAACAATGAAGCTGCCAGTTGCTATGGCTTTGAAACACTTATGACTAGATTCTACGGAGATAGAGAATCATGAGCTCCTACTGACTGATGGGGCTCTGGACATTGTGAGTTTGTGTTACACAGACAGTGAACGGTTATCAGAAACATAACATCTGAAATATCATTTGATACTGTTGACTGTTACCAGTTCTTTCGACCATTGCGAGGTAAGAGTGCCATGTAATGATAACAGGTCTGAAGCGGCAAAGGTAGGTAGCTGAATTAAAGATCACAATTCTATCTTTCATACAATGTTCATACATTGAGTTAAAATGTGATTTTTTACCTCCATGCATACGATTCAAATAACCCGGATCCCAGTGTTTTGCCTTGCAACCATCAAGTTAAGTTTTGATATGGAATCAGTGTTATAACTTTCGATGTTATGTTGCAGGTTCGGCTTGGACTCTCGAGCCCTGGGACGCCTCGTTCCCAGCATCGTCTCAGGTTTCAGTACTGATGCTGAGTTGCAGGAGGTAAGGCAGTGTGAAAAAGGATCAGATACTAAACGTAATGTTACGTTAATGTCAAACTTCTGGTGTTCTCATTCATAAGTTTGAAACTAATAATTTCCAGTCCTGAATTTCAAATATTTCAGTGGCATCATCATCATCATGTGACGGATTTCTAAATACAGTGGCAAATTGGGACTTTGCAATGAGCAGCCATCACTAAATAGGGACGCCAAGGTCAATGACCTGAACCAGATGTCTGTCACCATGGTAACTGGTGTTGGGTTACATCATGTTGCAATTTCAAATTCTATAGCAGAGGGGATTTAGACTCCTGTCAGCATATATCTGAATGTGTTTGAAAAAAGAATTAACAACAGATATGCGAAGGTAAACGTTATGCATTTGCTTTGTAAATGTTACCTTTCCATGATGCTTGTTGACGATTTTCTGTTTTCCCGAAGGTGCTGGACTTCTTTGCCCTGTATCCAGAGGCCGGGGCAGGTGCGAGGGGCCGGGAACAAGCATTGGAGAGGATCCGCAGCAACATTGCCTGGCAAAACGCCAACTTAGACCACATTAAAAACTGGTTACAGGACAACAGTGCTCGCTAAAACAGGTCCATGATATATGGTTGTATCTTGGCGAAATCTGAAGTGCCTTTCAGGAATGTGTCAGGAATCAACTATATCAATAATGTCATCAAATTAGATATAGATTCCTAGGGAGTCCTTGAGTATATGGGCAAACACACCAAAAAATGTTTCTTTTATATTCTATGCAATTTTGCAACGTTTCCTATCCTATGGAACATACACCACAAAGAAACACAAATCAATGTGAAATGTCGTTGATTTCACACAAGTAACTCTAATCAATTTGTGATGAAGGGAAGTTGTAGCGTCAGGGAGTACGAGATGTGCACCAATTGTGTGCCTTACCACTGTGGTACTTTTCTCCATGACTTATATTTTTATATTTCATGATCGAAGACTACATTTACGTGTAAAGAGATGACAATTGAAATAAATGCCTGTATTCAAACCAAACATTGAGGTAGAACTATAACTTTGTCACCAAGTGCCTCAACTGTATTATCTTCTGCGAAGACGCCTGTGACCTCGACCTTCAATAGTTCTGTCTTATGGCTACAGCTGACGTCACATGGTGTTATGAGAATTATATCTGCTTCTAATTGCTTACAACTGTCCATGCCTCTCGGTATTTGGGGAGCAAGACCTTTTCCTTTGCCAAGTTATGTTACGGACTTTTGGTGTGGTGAGGAAGTGAGATGATGGATATGCCCCTCGCTCATTACTCGCACTTGCAAATAAAACATTGCCTCTCTATACAGCTACCAGTGACGTCTTGATGAGTTAGGCGTTGTGGGATACACACCAGCTGTAAAAAGGCTTAGTTAGGGATTAGCAGACATTCGTAATATTCATAGAAAGCTTGTTAGCGTTGTGCTTGCAATGTATAGCTATCAAGAGGCAAACCGATTTTCATTCAAATGTATGCTTTAGGCTAGAGGTACTAGGTATTTTCTCAAAGACCGCCTCAATTTCTAAGTCAGTGGATCTGTTTGTAGGGTCTATTGCTCCCTGTGATTTACTATTCATTGAAAGTGCTGACCTCATAAAGAATGAAGCCGGAAATAAAACGTTTGACGAAAGGTAGCAGTCGATGGTTGCACTATGTATGATCTAGTTTCGGTTGCAACGTTATTCGATCGGACATGACCTCACCCAACCTTATAACATTATACAACAGCTATTGCTATCGGCTCTAATGAATTATACCCAACAATGAAACGGACAAGGAAACGATTCTCGTGATTTGTGTTAATTGCTTGGGGAAAAGAGGTTATAAAATTTTACTGACTGCTAATTATAGAGTTTTATTGGCTCTGTATAACCAGGTCATGGGCTACATATTTAAACCTGAATTATGAAGCGTTAACGTTTCTGCCTCTTCGTCATTACTTCTGGGTGTGGAAGTATTGTTATGGGTGGCTGGGTTTGTGACTATCTGTCCTAATTACTTCGATGGCACTGTGGGTGGGAGGTGACTTTGACAGATGATTGACAGGACGGTCATGCCTGAACGTTGATCATTAGATATGAAATGAAACATACGCAGCTATTTTTTTAGCTATCTTCAATATTCAGGTGATCATTTCGGTGGCTTTCAACAGATCAGTACGGTACCCGGTCAAAGTAAACTTCATTATAGTCCTAGCCAATCAGACTGCTGAATTCTATGACCAACACGAACGAATTGACTGAAGACTGCAGTAGGAAAGCTAACCACGCACAGTAACATATACGTGACATCCTGAGGTTTGCCGCAGGACAGATTTTACTAATAAAAACAAGGGGATATCGTGTGTGAACGTCTTGGTGCGATATAACATGCGTTACCTCTAGTAGAGTTGAACACTGTGTAAATGACCTTACATGAACTGGAGGAGTCTGTATCCTCGAGGTGACAAGAAGAAAACAACCCAAACGTCGTCCGTTTTGGAAGCATGACATCCAATCTTGTCTCTGGTGACAGGCCATGGGACACCTCGTCACATGTTTTGCCCCAAAAGAAATCAATGCTGCATCTCAGAAATTGCAGCCGGCAACCAATTCCTAAAATTGAATCGTAAATTTTGTTGGCCATTTTTCAACCACAGCTCTGGGCTTAAATGTTTACAGTCAGTCTTAGTAGAAACGTTCTATCCCGACTGTCATTGGTCCTGTAGACCACGCTACACGTAGTTTTCCACAACACCCATGGGATCGATAAAATTTCAATTATGTCATTGTTAGTGAAAGACGGGTTGATACCAGAGGATTATCTCGGATTTGTTGAGGTAGCCTTACACACACGTAAAAATTAATCAGAGCTGAACTGTCGCGGCTCATTTCGGGCTTGAGATATCAGGCCAATTTATAACGGGGCGTCAGACGACAGTGGGCCGGTGCTCGTATTTTACATTGATTGTTTCATCGCGTCGGCCAATAAATCGACTGATGTCATTAGGAGATGGAAGTGTAGACGACCTTTGGTATAAGGGGGCGGAGTTACGAAAAATTGTCCTTGTGTGAAACGGGCTTTTAAAAGGCGTCCCCGTAGAAACTTTTACAAGTCACCAACCATGGGTTTCGTTTGTCTTGTATTCAGATTTCTCTTAGTTTGTACGACCAGGTTTTAAACATTGGATTGATAATCTCTAGTTATTTAACTTAAAACGAAAACAGAAACTATCTGTTAGTTGGCGTTACCGTCGGGGTCGGACTAAATCTAAGAACTAGCTCGGGCCTCTATTTGTGTCATCCAATCTAATTCCAACAAGTACTGGCCAATATTCCCCCACAGAAAATCAATCCAATCTCATGAATATAACACGGCAATGCGAACATAATAATACCATAACGTGACCATCCTTCTCAATTTCACCATATCCATATCATTTTGAAGAAACTCTGACGAGTATAAACTCCCAGGTCTCCGAATCACTGGTTAACGGTTCGCTGCATATACCCATGAGGTCGATAAAAACGCAACTATACCAATGTTAGTAAGGAATAAGTAGATACTTAGAGGATTATGGTGGATTTGGGGAACTAGCCAGGGACACGCGTAAAAATTAATCAGCACAGACTGTCGGCTTCCATATAGTCTACATGTTCTCGTTATTGATTATATACACTGGCCTACTGCTCAGGATATATTACAATAATTAGATGAGCCAATATTCACAAGCGAAGGCAACATGCCATTTATAAACACACGCTCATTATTCTGTTGTCTATCCTTCATAGATAGATAGTGTGTGAGCATGTCTAATCAAATTGGGCGTTGTGAAATGATTGAAAAGCCAAATGTGAAGGTACGTTAGATGATTCTTTTAGACGTGGCATAGCCATGTGTTTTACAAATTGGTTGAAGCATTGGCAATTGAGAAACGTTACGTACATAACATATTCTAATTGCAACAACGTTTGGGGTGAGGTGGTGTCAGACAAGTACTCTTTAATAAAGTTGCGAAAAGTTTCGGAAGGTAATAGAAGTGAAGAAAGAGAGCAGGGTATAGAACTTTTGCAATGTTTTACTAGTAAGAACTGATTGACGTTTATCAGTTTTATTTAGTGCAGGGCCGTTTAGGCGAGTATAAAGAAAAGAACCACATATCGCTACTAAACATGGTCACCAGGCTGGTTTGGCCTTTCACCTTTCACCTTTGACCCGAAATGACCTTACATGTTTCAGTCAAGAAAAATATCTATTTGATGCCAATCGACATTTTTTCACGCGGTCTCTACAAAATATCAATAATCAAAAGTTTAGAGTCAGTATTTGGCAAAACAACAGCGGTTAGAAATTATAACGACAGGAAGAGAGTGCCTCGGTTTCGTCATAGGATCTGGGAACGTCAGCTGAAACTGTCATGGCGGTAAGTACAAACTTCTTTGTCTCCTTTATCATAATACCGTTATAATACTGTTATTGCGAACAGATGAATAGTTTGTGTGACGTCTAGACATTATGAAATGGTCATTCCTATTCTTACAATGCCCCAGCATTGGCCAGTGGGGTCAGTGTTTGAGTACTGCCATATCATAACAATGCGTCATGATATGGGGGGGGGGAGGTAACGTCAGACTCATGCCTCGTTACCGATTAATATGATACTCCAAGTCCAAAGACTGTACAAAGGAATCCACAGTATGTACAGTAAGACTTCATATATTTATGATGATACTCATGTCAGTTTGGTTGGGATACAATACGAGCGATCGCCATGACGTCACAACCAGCGAGTGGTAGGCAAAAGATGGTGACACTCGATACCTATAATTTGTATATGACTTTAAATGATTTGCATGTAAATGATGTAAACAAAACCAGCGATAATTGCACAAGAATACATTCTTGTACAATTATTGTATATACCAGACCCGTGCAGATATTTGCTGTATAGGGACGCACAGAAAGGCACATACATGTTTAAAAAATATTTTGCGTTGATGTAATGCATTTACAACAGCTTCACATTACTGATATTTAGATTATCTAATACACATTGTATTCCATGAAATATACATTCAAGTACAGTGATTTGTCACCACACGAAAACAAGGAATGATAGAAGAATGCAGGAAGGCAATTTTCCTGCAGGTTGATAGTACAGAATTCATCAGGTTGATGTTGTATATATATAAAGTTATATATAGCTACAAGTACTCTGGAGAGATCCATTTCATTCCTGAACGTTTAGAAGTTCCTAAAAGTTTAGAAGACAATAGTCAATATCTGGGTCACTGATCATGTGTTTCAAATCTGTTTTTAAAAGTTATTCAAACTTCAAAGTCGATCGTTTTGCGCCCTAAGATATGATGCAGTGCGTATTTTGAAACAAAGATAACCTTTTTGTTTAAACCTTTCCCAGCCGTCCTGCATTTTCATTATTGTTCAAAATATTAAGACATCTTTTATTGTCTATCGATTTTTCAGTTCAGCTATACGATGTCAGTCGGTCAAAAGATAGCAGCGAAAAGGTCAAAGGTTTTGACATTATTATGATGATAAAGTACATGTTTTATCATGTGTCAGTTAGAGCGTCACAAAGCAGTACTTAAGGTGCTATATTATGACCGTTTTCTAGGAAATTTCTTTTCTGGGCAAATCTTGAACTTATATACTTGTTTTAGGAGTAGTTTGTAAAACTCTTAACTGGGACTGTTTGATATCCCTTGACCCTTGTAAGAGTAA